ATATATTTTTTACATTAAATATTAATTTCAGGACTTAAATTTGAAATCTAAAAATTTACTTTATTTTTCAGCTGAAGGGAGGATTGGTTAGTAGGAACGAAATGTCCCATGAATGAAATAAATTTCAAGTAGGCGCATGATGTTTAATTATATTACAGCCACAATAGGGTGTGAAAGGCAAACCACAAAGCGTTCACGTCCTTCAATCATTTTTAGAAGGAACTGAAAATTCCAAGTAGAAAGAGTCGAGTTTGGACTCTTTGGGATTTGGTTTAATTATTCAACACCTTCAAAATTGAAGAACATGCCAAATCTTCAAGAGACTCAAGCATGCCGGGTGATGCGTTGCATGACGCATGATTTACAGAACGAGTTTTTGGAATTTGCTCAAACTTTGGTTGTCATCTTCGCACCCTTTTTAATTTGGGTTCTTTGGGATTCTCCGAATAATTCCCCTAACTTTCAATTTTTTTTTCTTTTACTCTTCTCTCTCTCTCACACACATATTTATGGCAAAAATCTACTTTTAACCCTTAATCTTAATAAGTTTATAAGTTTTAACCCATCACTTTATATTATACTTTTAACCCTTTATCTTATATTATGACAATTTTATCCCCTTATCTTTATGAATTGAAGAAAATAACATTTACTTAATGTCAGTTTATAACATTCGTCAATTGATTGTTAACATTCTGTTAGTTCTGCCTTTATCACTGTTAATAGTCTGTCAACTGACTGTTGATAAAATATTAATAGTTAATCGACAAATATTATAAACTTATGTTAAATAAGGATTATTTTCTTCAATTTATATAAATAAGAGGCTAAAAGTGTCATAATATAAATTAAAAAGTTAAAACCAATAAATTTATTAAGTTAAAGGGTTAAAAATAGATTTTTATCTAATTCATCCTCTCTCCCTTTTTTTAAGGGGTTTTTTTGGATCTTCGTCAACACTATTTCATTGGGTTTTGTTTGTTGGATAGACTGAATGTGAAGTTGGATTGGTAGGTTTCTCTAATCTTTCTATTCAAAAAGTAAAAGTCTACATTATAATAATGATTATTTAGTGGTTTTGACCTTTTATTGAACAATCTTTCTATTATGTAGTTTTGTATATATTTTTATATATTTAAAAGTAAAAGTTTACATTCTAATTATGATTGCTTAATAGTTTTGACCTTTTA